ATAGTATTAAAGTAAAAAATTATTCAAGCACAATATTTAGCAATTTTTAATAATTAATATCTTAATTATTGCAAAAATTGTAAAATGTGTGTGTGTGGTAGAGGACTTTTCGACTCAATTTAGTCCGCTTTATTTACACACGCTTTGTCAAAACTTATTAGACACTCTGTATTATTAACAATAATTCTGAATCAAATTGCTGTCAATTATAAGATTCAAATTATTTTCGTATCACGTGCATATTTATTGCGGGTTTGAGAAAATAGGTATTATAAATTTTATTAACATAAATATATAATATTATTAATATATATTTTATATATATAGATAATAACAAATTTGTTATAGAGCATAATTTTGCTGAGTTGGCAGTTAATTAACTGAACATCATTTATAACTTTAAAAATAATTATTATTACTTACAAAAAAAATAAAAACGTGAAACTACAATAAAACACACTTATTACGTATGTATATACATATAGCCTTTATTTTGAAAACTGTCATGTTATACGATTTGAGAAAGTGAAGCGTGAAACACAAACAACTTTTTCTCTCGAAAAACAGCATTGAAATAAAAGAATAATAAATAATGATTTTATTTTTAAAAAATTCAATGAACTTATAATTGTAAAAATGTTGACATAAGATAAATAATTACTTTTTCAAGCACATATGTAAATAACGTTTCAGAATGCTTTGACAAATTATTTCTAAAAATAATATCGAGCTATCGCTTTCTGGGCAGTATCCAATAATCACCACGAGTGAAGCTTGATAGCGAGATGTCAGCTGATTCGATCATCTGATATTTATTTATTAATTTGATGCTATTGATCCATGTATTTTTCATAAAAATGAAAGTTAATCTTACCTGTTATCAATGTAGTTGTATGGACATATTTGAAAAGAAATCATTTGAAAAATAATCATTTGAAAAATAATTATAACATGTATGTTTATTGTCAGCAACATATGTTTAAAGATCTTAAAACTATAGGGAATTGTTATATAAAATGCTTGATTTAAAAATTTTTCATATACACAACAGGGATTTTGAAAAAAAAAAAAATTAAAAATGGAAGATATTATAAGATCGACAAATATTAGTTAATACACGTCTTTACCTGGAGCCTAATGATCGGTGGGAATGCGTCTTCTCTCGTCATTACTAAATAATAAACTGTATATTCTCTTTGACAAACTACGTATACGCACGCTATGTAAGCACCATGCTGAAGACGTAGACTGCCGGATATTAATAGAGTTCTATATATTATTTTTGTTAAACTCCTATATGTCGTGCCTTTGTTAAGTAATATCGCGTTTTGCATTATCCAAAGCTAGTAAATTAACAATCATGTAAATTTACGAATATGATGTTTAATTTTAACATATCGAGATATACATATAGATGTATTTTTCCTACTTTATAATGCATGCGTGTGTATACAGAATAAGTCTGATAAAAAGTTCATCACATTTTTTTCGAAAATTAGGAATCGATTAGGAATAAGGGGATATTTATTATCAAAATTGTAGAATAAGAGGACATATTTTGACTTTGTCATTTTAAATGTCTTTGGGTTTTTTACTATCAATAAAAAAGTTTTTTTTAATCGGAAGGTATTTTTTACTCGTTCTATCAATGGTGCTCTTTGTATTAAAGTATTTCTTCAATTGAAAATTCAACTGTTTTGAGGATATAAATAATAAAAGAAGTTTACAAGTTCGAAATAAATTTTATTATTGCAAGAAATGTTTAAAATGTTTACTATATTCATTTAAACGTGTTAGTAGTTTTCATAGAAAACTTGCTTGGATTTTTAATTTTTGAATAGTTATTTTGCGACAAATATTTGATTACCGACATTAAGCATTATCCAAAGTGTTCGGCTGACAGCTAAAATCTTTAAATATTGTTTATACTGATGTTAATGATTAATCCAGTAAACGAGAATAGATTGAAATGAATTTACATTTTTAGAAGTACGCATTCGCGACATTGAAATAAATCCTTTTCAATGCATTTTTATTCATATTTATTGGACATTTCTATGTCTTTCAATCTAAAAAAATTTTAATTCTTTAAGTGAATACTGTTCAATAAAAAATTTTGAATAGTTTTAATCCAATTGAATCTAAAAAAAAGTGGAAATGGACCGCAAATGCTACTAAAATACGCATTCGGATGAATTCAAATAGATTAAAATTTCATTCCATTTATCGTTTCATTTACTAGGAATGCACTGGTTAATTTATCTAGTCGATATTTTTTTATAACTCAATATAATTTTAAAAAATTGATTTTTTCGAGAATTAATTTTACTAATATTTGTCCCTTCAAACCATAAAACTTTTAACTGAAATATTTTCCGTATCATTCATATTTTCTAAGATATTCCGCCCATTATGTTTAAAATGGGTCACCCTGTATATATCTTTGTTACTTCAAGGATTTTATACATTAAAGCATATACAGGGTTGGCCATATTCGACGGAAAGATGTTTTTTTTTTCAA